GCTGCTTTCAAGCAGTGGAATGATGGCTTTAGTGAAGATGTTATCCACACCCCTAGGTCTTTCTGAACCTCTACCAGTGGCAGCGGTGTGTGATTTAGATAGTACGTCTGCCGGTGCGCAGAGCTGGTTCTGCCAATCCTCAGAATGTTGCATTTGGTAACATTAAATGGGAGGAGCCAGTGGCCTGACCTAGTAGACTCTAATTCCCTGTGCGTCATGTGTGGGCGTTTTGTTGCTCACATCTGCCTACTATCAGGGGAAAACAGGGGATTTATGTCGACCTATCAGGATGGTCAAGAGGCATATAAAAGCAGAGGGGTAGAACAAGTATTCTCATTCTTCCAGATGAACATGTGTAGTGCATCTCTTGCCTGTCTGATCCTATCTCTGGCAATCCTCTTCTTCACTGACAAAGTGTATGTCTCGTCTTCGCTATTCCTGCCTCATCTACTACTTATATACATGCATAGTAGTGGTTGAATTGTGTAAGGTTAGACTAGTGGAATAAATTGGTGCAGATATATATTGCATTTTTTTCGACAAATTGAACACAAATTTAAGTAGCAGATGTTGACAAATATGAAATAAATGTTGTGGACTATGTAGTCCATGATAATTCTGTTGCTCTGGTTTGCAGGCGAGCAGTGGGAATATGTGACTGGGACCAGCGGACGTACACTACGCTCGAGGGTAAAGCCGAATTCATGACTGTGCGCAGTGGGAGGTACTCGGTAAGCTGCCATTTCTGTTATTCCAACAACCCTAATTGTGTCATCTTTGTCGGTGTTTTTGTTGACCTGCAACATTAAACTTTACCATTTTTATCTTCTTGACAGACCGGATACATTGGCAAAGTTCCGTTTGTCTCCAAGCGACTCAGCCAGACCACTTGTTACCTCGGTGACGTGGCATTTAGATGTGTGTACGCTAACAGTAAGTCGCATGAAAATGACTGCTAGTGTTAGTGCAGGAAAATATTGTTAGGCAACAGTTAAAAAAGGAAGATAAACCGCGATATTTATAAATTTTCCTTCTAACCCCTAGATGGCAGCATTTTGGGAACGCATATAGTGGTGCCCAACATCACCAATGTGGACAGGATATACATTGCCAGCACCTATCCTGTCACAGTCCATAGGATCGAAAAGCACGTTCGGGACAAGTCCTCCAAAGGTTCGTCCACCAGTGCCTCATTTCTTCGTTCAAGTCTAAGTTATCAGTAGCATTCTTATTTGAATTCCTGCTCTTCATACATAAGTCTCCCTCCAATGTCCCGTCCTCCTCACTGAGACTGAACTACCGACATTTTAGATCGTTTTATCGTCGAAGAAAATATGCACCTGACCAAATGCCCCGAATATATGCAAACGAAGCTGGTTTGGAAATTCCCCGGAAGTGTGGCTGACAGGACAGATGTAAGTGATTGTCTGTCTACCACAACAATACCCGTTCCCTGAGACAGTCAGGTTGCCATAATGAACTGCGTGTTCGTTTCTTTCCCGCCAGTTTGAATGTTTTCGAGACGGCAGTAGACTATGCAGAGGAACCACGACAACAATGGAGGCTGGCAAATGTGGTGAGTTGAGGGGAATTCACTACGCAGTGCGCATACCTAACCTCCGTCTTCTCTGATTTTTGAGTGACATTTGCTTTAACCTATATACCGATGTGTTCAATTGTCAGCGCGTGTTGCCCTATTCGACTAACACATGTCTTATTTGTGTATCTGCAGATGTGACCGTTGATGGCGGCAATCTTATTCATACTCGGACCGTGAATGGAACCAAAAATGTCCTCGAATTTTTCTACTGCCACCTCAGTCCGTCAACGCCACATCATGCACTGACCTACAACATAGATTGGCGAGGTGAGTATTTGCCAGAATTGTTTCATCGACTGGCGAGGGCAGAGTAAATGGTTGGAATAGGTTTGCTTCGCGAAACTATCTACTTTATTCATCTAAGTAGGCGTTGTTCGGCACACTTTTTGATCGGGAGCCAGTCATGCTATAGCCCGACAGGATGACACTAGCACTTCATGTATGAATTTGCAGTCCTGCCCACCATAATCAAAGCTTTGATGTTTCAGCCCGTCCGGTATCGTTCTTCGGTGCTGAAAATTACACATGTTTTATTTGAAAAAGAATTCCGTCACACGACTGAAGTACTTACTGGTTTATACCTTGTATTCTTTCAATTTCAGCTTCGAAGCCGATTCCGCCTGAGGGAATACCGACAGACGCTCCAGGTAATTTACAACACTGTGACATGAGGATTGTGAAATTGTTCGGGAAGTATAGACATTTTTCCGATTCTGACGTCTGTCCTGCACGTTGTACGTAACTGTGCCAAATATCAGATCGCGTCCATTTCTAACAAACCATTGATGATCCAGATGGTTAGCGAAAGCCCACACACTTTACGGGGGGAGGGGGGAGAGCGTAATCGGTGAACTAAAACCCCTCAAAAGCGTTTTATTAATTTCATCGCATTGTTCTTTTTTCCATTCAATTCCCACAGTCACTGAACGACGACATGCAATGAAGACAACGTCCGCTGCCAAACACCTGACAGGTAATGCTACATTTCAGCGTGTTGGGAAAAATCATTTAGTGGAAATTAATCGGTTTCCATTTCTCTCTTTCCGCCTCTGCTAACCTGTCAAATTTATCGTTGCCAATGCCTTCGTTTACAATTTTAGATAGTGCTTATGGGTCCATTGAACACCTATTTCTGCTCTGTGTCAACATGAATCATATGTGAGCTTCTATACTCCTGTCCTTTTCAGCGTCAAGTCTGGGAGCCTTGGTTGTGCTATCCACAGTTTTGGCGGGGCAACGCTGAGAATCAAGAACTGCTTATTTCAAAGATTAGCATTGCAGTGCTTAACTGCAAAAGAGAAGATTCTTCTTTCGTTTTCTACCCGCTGCATGTTAATCCTCTTACCGTGTAGTCACACCTAGCCAATAAATGTTTTTTTTATTATGAGAGACCTTCTTATCTTGTTCTGGAGTGGAAACTGGAGGCTCTACAAGACTGTAGTGTAGGCTACGAGGTAACAGCCTGTGCTGGGGGGGTGGGGGGAAGTGAATGTATTGGAATCTGATCTGTCGCAATGCGGAACTGACGCAGCAGTTCCCAATGGTCGTGAACACAAAGATTCCCAAGTCTGAAGTCAGAGAAGACGGACTGGTGAAGAAGCACACATGGTCGCTGGGACACGGCAGTTATCCGACCAACGTTTCGAATTCCGGCTCGAGTCCATCATCAGAGACAATGGCAGACACGCGACTGGGATAGACAAACCTTACTGCTGTATAAAGGCGCCCGGTAGTCACAGCAAGTTGTCGCTGCAACTTGTTTCTTCAAACGTATTGTGTGCGTCAGTGTCCGCCGTTGGGGTTCTTTGGCGTCTTTGGTTTGTCCAAGTTGTGGCCGCCTCTAGCCAATCACCCAGAGAGCGTGGTTGATTAACTTCGAGCTCTCGCAAGGCCAGTGACAAGAATCACGCGGTCCCCGCAACGAATCCGCGGAGGACGTGGGGCGAGAAGAAGGGCAGCGTGACAAGGCAGCGGCCACCAAGTGAGCAGACTGCCACGGGGCCAGCTGCCGCCTCTATGCATGCAGACCTAAAGAGACTGCAGACTGCTTCAATGTCAAATGTAAAAACCATAAGGATCACTGCTAGAGTAATTTCCTCGAAATTGCAGTTTCTACTCTAAGACGTCTTCGGCCGTGATGATATTTCTATCGAGCTCACGCTAAGGAAATCCTTCGCAGTGTATTAATGGGACTGCCATGTGACTTGCATTCGACTGCCTCTGACCGGTTCAGGTCCAAAACGATGTTCGTTGACAGCGGAAATTGCCGAGGGTTAGCGGCGCATGTTTCAAAAATCAGAGTCGATTTATGGGCTGTGGACTGCCACCTGACCCTGCGCCACAATACGGAAAGATCCTCACGGCCAGGTTATGCACTCCTTCCCGTCTACATTAAATGGCCACTCGGCCTTTTCAGTGAAACCCTCAACAGCTGCATGGACTACACGTCTCAATACGACAGTCCTTGAGGACCCTAGGTTAAATCAGTTAAACGCCGCTTTCACTTACCCCTGGAGAGGACATTGTCGAGATCAGGAAGCCTGTGTTATTAGGACATTTTAGTTAAATTCTCAATGATGAACTGGAATGTCTTAGGTTTCAGTGTCACCCCAGCCGAATCTATGGCTTAGGGGCAGACAACCCATGCCAACTGAAGCCTACACTCATGGGAGATTGCCTGCTCGCTGTTACACGACAACTTGAACGGCTCCATGAGAATTCTGCGAAACTCAACGAAACCATCTTATCCGAAAAGGCACTTTAATATTCCCTGGTCCAACCGATACTCGGTAGACCTAAAGCGGGGCAGAATGAGGCCTAATTAGCAATCAGCTTTTTACGTTCAGGGACTGTTTGTCGTGCCATCAAGAACACGTAGGGACTGAGAAAGTTACCACATTGTCACGGTTTACCATGCGAACGACGTATAGAATTTTACGTCCTAGTCGTAGACAAGTAGTGAGGTTGCTGGAGATTTTAAAATCCCAAAACATGGAAACATGATCTCGACGGGGTCTGTAAACTCCCGCTTCATTCTCGTCCTGGAGGGTCTTTCTGGGTATGTGATGATGGTGGTTTAATCATAGTCACTATATCACAGTGGAAATTGCAGGACCGAGCAGGCGATCAAGTAGGCTACGTGATTATATCATGTTCTGGAAATGAATACACTTGCTGGATTCGCGTTTGCTGATGTGACAATTCCCAACTGGCAACGTCACCAATCCTAACTAATCTGCAACTGAGATCACACGACAGTTCGACTGTCGACTTCGACGATGTTCTCCGTATGCACCACATCGGGACGAGAGCTGGAACGATAGCTTGTGACGCATCTACCGCATTCTCTTCTTCTTCTTCTTCTTCTCCTCCTCCTGGGTCCGGTGTCATTGTCAAGTCACGCAAAAACCAACACGTAGACGCGGTGAAAGCATCGGAGCGTCAAGAACAGTTCAAAAAACCTTTCCCTGGACAGGTAGATGGGATACAATACAGATGGTTAGCGGTGTGTGTCCGGAGAAGCCGAGCAGTGTTATTACGCTGTAAGCTTCTTTTTGGCTTTATCCAGAACTGACAACTATGTTTACACCCAACTTTCTACTTATCGACCAGGATCGGCAATGTTATGACCCGGTAGGAAGGTAGGACAGGAAGAGAGCCGGTTCGGAGGACAAGCACTTTACTGGAACTTGCGGACAGGAGGGGGTTCCAACTCGTAAGAAAGGTGTGCTATTTATTGGCTCCCGTGCGTTCTGGAACATTCCGTCCAATGACGTGCCAGTCGTAGAGGGCGTTCTAGAATGTTCCTGTCCCGAGCGTGCTGGTCGCTGATTGGCCACCGCGTGCGCGATAGCCCCGCCGGGGAAACGTCTGGAATGTTCGGCCATCCATTGATTGGGCCGCACACATGAGCAAAACCACCACGCGTGCTCGGAGCTGCAGTGCGCGCGTGACTCACGTCGCCGATTTGGCCCTTTGTTTGGCGCCTTAGGCCGTGGCTCTACGCCGCTTTCGATCTCCATATCAGGCAACATGAACTTAATTCTAGATCCCGTTATGCTGCCTTCTCGCCCCTCAAAGTGCCACGCCGAAGATTCGCTGGACAAACAGGCGTTATCTGGAATGCGCACCCATAACAAATGCAAACACTGGGGATGTGACTGCAGGCCCGTTTGAAGGCTCATTTCGCGTCGATTCTTGACTCTGTCACCACACTGGGTCCCAGTGGAGGACGGTGAGATGTAAAAGGAGAGAGAGTGAGGGATGCTGCGCAAGTCTACTATCAGTATGAACTAATTCACGTGCAAGCCATCGTCCCTGATCTCATCCCGCTGTGGAGCACACGGCGGACCGGGTCGAAATCGAGGTGCAAACCGCCGCGAGGATATTGCGGTTGCGTCCCTATGCCTCCATCAGCCTTATTTGCGGCTGTCACTGATTGTTGGTTCGACTGAAAATCCGAAGATCCAGACTAGGAAACTTATTGTTCGGGTGACCACATTTTCTCCTTCTCTCTCTCTCCTCCCCCTCCTTCTCCTCCTCTTCTTATTCTTTGAAATAGGGGAGCTGATTTTTAGGATGAGATGGACTCGTACTACCTTATGAATCACCTCACTGTTACCCAAAGGATCATGACATGCGTGGATCTGTGACGGAGAGCTTTAATTTGTAGCACGGAAAACGGCCAAATGAAGAGGCAATTCGAAACTTCTCCGAACATGGAGTCGAACCACGAAGCCGCCTTCTTAATATGGCCTTTGGAGCATTATCGCCTTTTAATTTCCTCAGAAATTATCTACGAATTTGGACTAAATCAGTTTATTCAAGGTCTATGGGCACTGACCGAGAATTTTATACATGAATATTTGGGACAAAGTCCATCAGGCACAGCGGGTAACCGCGTAATATTCATTGACTGCCGACAGGCAGCTAGTAGTATGCTTTAGGGTAAGGTGATACCATACTAACAGCACAGGTACTAGCCAAAAGCCTGGATGGAGACATAGGCTCCTCCGTTTGCAGCCTCGTATACGATGAGTTAGGAACCAGACTGTGTGGTGCGCGCGTACACGGACTCTTCGGTCTTGTCAGTTACCTTACCTTTAGATCACGGTGGGCAGTGTCCTGGTCTGTTGCCAGGATGCAGTGAAAGACCTCCTAACTGAAAATTAACTCCATGCCCAAATCACCCTTCCTGGACGAAAGTCGTGGGGGCAACAGTCGACAGAGTCGCGTGCGACAGTCGATGTGGGGAGTATATCGATTTTCCACTCTCCTCTTATTGGACGAACACACATATGTCCGCCGAGTTCATTTATTTCCTTGAAGGCATAAGACGTGTAAAAGGCAAATAATTCCAATTTTCCACTGATATGTGTCTACTGCGTCAGTAAGTTACCTTGATACAAAATATTGAAGTTCACAAACTTGACCAATAAGGGCAAAGTTTCGGCAAACTGACTCCTTAAAGTTCTTAAACATCAGATGCTTGAGCAGTTAGTTAAAATCACGTAATTTTAAAGGGCCGTTATTATCATTATTATCATTTGGTGCTGCTATTTGGCGCATTGTCCAGATATATTTCTTTACTGCTTGGCGACAGCGAATTTACTTCCGACAATTCTGCCTTCAGTTGTGATCTCATCGATTCTTTTTCTACTTAATCTGCTGTATTCTATGTGAACTTCAACAATTAATAGTCGTTTTGTGATGTTGCCCGCGCGGACATTGACGAAGTGAAATTCTGCGAACGCACCTATTGATTATTCATCTTTGGGACCGAACTGTAATAAAATTACCTCAAGGTAAACCCCTCGCATCAACTCAAATATTGTGGTTACATATTCACTGTTATCATGGAACCCAATACTTCGTCTTGAGGATAGACATGGGCTGACCAATGGAAATTGTTCCGCGTCCATCTACACACTCACAGGCTCCTCTAGAACACGTTTCATCAGAGAGACTACTAGGGATCTATTCAAGCGAGTGCGAGAACACTAGCCCGACTGGCTAAAGCCATGCATGGAAAAGTTCGTCTCAGGCGTAATTGAGGACACCTCGGTTGACCGTGGACACACAGTACATCCTAACCAAGCATTTCTAGTCATCATCGAGGCGTCGGCGATACACTCCAAGTTCGTTTGTCGGTGGATATTAGCGGATAGCCGACCAAAGGCTTCAAAGGCGATACCGAAGGAATCCGCCTTTGGCACCGCACCAGGGGGATCTCTGGGGCAGCGATATATGCTGGCATTATTTTATGGTGATAGTACTCACGCGCCGCTTCACCTAAAATTCCTATGCGTTTGACCAACAGGGAGCCGAATATCATGCTCCCTGTTTAGATGAGAGGTGAATGTTCCGTGTCTGTGGGACGGACCCGTGTGTGCTACATATGAAGGTGTTGATCGTGGGGTTTCGTCCGCAAATGTTTTTCTCAAATTACCATGGAGGTACAGTAGATGTGCTAACTCATGAAATGTCAACCAAATTTCGAAATGCGTTCTCGTTTCGAAAAGATAAATTAAGTAGTGTTGTAAAACTAATCATGATGCAGCATAAATCTATAATAATCCAGTTACCTCAGGGTGTCGGCTTTCGAAAGAACTTATATTCGGCTGCATGCAAGATCCATACTCTGCAAAAATGACTACATATGTAGTATGCAATTTTCTCATTGATTTTCGATGCCCTTGAAAATTCAATTATATTTCATGGAAAACATGCATAAAAATATTCATTCTTTTACTTATTTGGTAGAAAATTACGTCCTATTTCAATTTTATCCTCGAACGAAGAGTATAATTCGGTTTTGAAAAACTTTTATAATTCCCGAATACTTTTGAACCCGATCAGCTGTTACACTTGATTTCAGGGTTTCAAAACTACAAGCTGTATATTTTCCGTGTACGGAAAACCATGCATTTCTCTACGGGTTCAAAATTATTCGGAAATTAAAAGACCTTTTTAAAACCGAATTATGTTCGGTCTTCTTCATCGGCATCATAGCAATTCTGCGCGTTAGATGTTAAACGATATCCGTAATTCACAATGACGCATTAAGGATACATCCTGGAGAATATCCATCGTCGCTATCCTTCTCTGCCTCCTTCTTTGTCTTCCATTGCTTCTTCTGTTTCCTCTCCTTCTTCATATTCCTCCTATTATCCTCCCCCACCCCGACGTGTGCCCAGTATTGATGCGTCAGTTGGGATGTTCCTATCCTCATCTTTAGCGTCACTTCCAACTTTTCTGTTCCAAACCCGCGCTACTCACATCTCCTCTACTTTCCCGAGCATCTCACCGGTCATCCGTCGGCTCCTTATTACCCCTCCGTGTTACATCTACCGAAGAAGGGCAACCATCCGTTGTTGGCGATTGCGCCTTTGCATGTCTGATTTTTTTTTCACACGAAAAACCTCTGTTTCCAGCCGCCTTGTCAGGCCCAGAAGTCTTTCCAGGAGATATGATTCCCGTATGTTCTACCTCTCAGTGAACCGCACACAATCATTCTTATCCGGCTCATCCAATGTTACGCAGACTGTTTCTTTAGGTGCGAATCGAGTGTGTGCACAGGACAAAGCATCCAAGCAGGTAAGTTTTGTTCAAGCACGCCATACAGGCATTTATCTTCCTCCACGGTCTGGTACGCTGTTGACTGTTCAAGGCAAGTAGTCCTCGCATGGAACTACTTTGTAGTGAGATTGGCCAATCTCACAACATACAACTGACGAAGAATCTAACCGACAACAACAACACCACAACGGGTCCGGAAGATGACTGGGCAGTCATGCTAACCACCTGTATACACAACGGGAGCGCAAGCACATCTACCGACAGGGAACAGGTGCCAAAGAATTGACAGTGCACACAGGGCTGAGAGGATCATGGTTTGCTGATCGAAGGTCATTCCCGCATCACACCACCTCGCTGGCGGAGTTGTTTTCGGCATCTATTTTGCCAAAACTCCCTTCCCACCCACACATCCCTTAACCCCCATTTTTCGCTTCAAGTCAAACAACAGCTCCATAGCAATTGTCAGGCTCCATTGTGTGTCTTAAACCTGCTCTTCCATTCAGTCTCACGTGGTGAAGTTCACTCTACACACCACGCCACCTCGCTGGTAGAAGTGTTTTTAAAATCCTTTCCCTGACACAACGAGACGCTGCACGAAGTGTCGGGAATTTGGTGGAGGTGTTTTTCTGCCAATTTCATCTGCCGCCCTTGCCTGTGTTCCGCACAAACAACTACGAAGTAATTCTAGTAGTCCAAAGAAAAACAGCTCCTGCAATTGGGTACTTCTTCGTTTAGGTGGTTGAAATTTATGCTTAAGGACGTGTGGACAGTGAGCCTAGTCACATCGTTTTCGTGTACATGACAGTTAGTCAGCTGCGGCCTTCAAACTGCCTTTCCACACTTCCCACATACGTCATAATTTCCTCATGTGCTACCGGTCGTCGGGTTGACATTGTCCCTATTTCCTAAACCTGACGTAATCTATGTAGATTCCAACAATCATTATGGGTACGGCGACTGCGTAACACTCGGGACAGAAAGTGCGATAGGCAACGGTAGGGTGTAGGGCTCCACGTTGCTGGCAACTCCAACCTGTCAACTGAAATTCACTCTGACTGTAAACATCACGTATTATTAGCCGTTAACATTGGCTGAGACTTCCATGCCTTCGGGACTGAACGTAACCTAACCGGCAACGGTTTATTCAGTCCGTTATTTTTGGAAATTGCTGTCTGGATGTGCGGAATTCATTCGAAACCGCAGCGCCCACTCTCTGGCAGGTCAGTTCGCGGGCAACCGATGATGTCCTGCTATCCGTGCGGCATCCTGTCGGGTTTTCTAAAACGGAAAGAACACTTCAGAATGTCGGAGTATGCCGCCTCACTTTGGCTGCCTGTAAGGAGATAGGAACAATGTCACCCGGACGACCGGTAGCACATGAGGAAATTATGATGTATGTGGGAAGTGTGGAAAGGCAGGTTGAGGGCAACAGCTGACTAACTGTCATGTGTACGAAAACGATGTGACTAGGCTCACTGTCCACACGTCCCAAAACAGAAATTTTAACCACCCAAACGAAGAAATACCCAATTGCAGGGGCTGTTTTCATTTGGGCTACTAGAGTTACTTCGTAGTTGTTCGTGCGAAACACAGGCAAGGGGGCAGATGAAATTGGCAGAAAAACACCTCCACCAAATTCCCGACACTTCGTGCAGCGCCTCTTTGTGTCAGGGAAAGGATTTTAAAAACACTTCTACCAGCGAGGTGGCGTGGTGTGTAGAGTGAACTTCACCACGTGAGACTGAATGGAAGAGCAGGTTTAAGACACACAATGGAGCCTGACGATTGCTATGGAGCTGTTGTTTGACTTGAAGCGAAAAATGGGGGTTAAGGGATGTGTGGGTGGGAAGGGAGTTTTGGCAAAATAGATGCCGAAAACAACTCCGCCAGCGAGGTGGTGTGATGCGGGAATGACCTTCGATCAGCAAACCATGATCCTCTCAGCCCTGTGTGCACTGTCAATTCTTTGGCACCTGTTCCCTGTCGGTAGATGCGCATGCGCTCCCGTTGTGTACACAGGTGGTTAGCATGGCTGCCCAGTCATCCTTTTCATCTTTCGGACCCGTTGTGGTGTTGTTGTTGTCGGTTAGAATCTTCGTTTAATAGCAGCAAACTGCTAATAATTGTCGAAGTCCAAGTCGAGTACACTGGGTTTAGTAGAAGTGTAATCGATGAGATCGCAACTGTAGGCAGCATTATTGGAAATAATTTTCTCAAATAATTGCTCTCTAAATTCGCGTGACTTTACTTAATTTCACAAGCATTTGGTATTTGCCGAAACATTATTCCTATTGCTCAAGTTTTTAGACTTTAAAGTTTTGTATCAAAGTGACTTACTGACGCAGTAGACACTTACCAGTCACAAATAGGTCCAATTGGCCTTTTATACGTCTTACCCCTTCAAGTGGATAAATGAACTCGGAGGACATATGCAGGTTCGTCTTGAGAACATTTTTGTTTGATGGCAGTTGAATATATACCCACAATAGTAGAGTTGAGGCGACGGGTTTACCTTGAGTTAATTTTATTATTGCACTGTCCTGATGGCGAGTAATCGATATATGCAATTACCGAATTTTACTTCGTCAATGTACGCGCGGGTAACATAGCAAAACTGCTAATAATTGTTGAAGCTCACATAAAATATACCAGGGTAAGGAGAAAAAGAATCGATGAGATCAGAACTGAAGGCAGAATTGTCGGAAGTATATTCGTTGTCGCCAAGCAGTGAAACCTACATGTGCAATGCGTCGAAAAGTGGCTCTTTAAAATCACGAGATTTTAATTGAATGCGGAAGCATCTGGTATTTAAGAGAATTAGAGAGTCTGTTTGCCGAATCTGTGTCCGTATTGATCAAGTTTGTGAACTTCAATGTTTTGTATTAAGGTGACTTACTGACTCAATAGACACCTGTCAGTAGAAACTTGTATTAATTTGTCTTTTTGTGCGTCTTATGGCTTCAAGGAGGTAACTGACCTCGAGGAACATGCGTGTGTTCGTTCAATAAGAGGAGAGTGAAAAATCGATATCCTCCCCACACCGACTGTCGCACGCGACAACGTCGACTGGTGCCCCACGACTTTCGTCCAGCAAGGGTAATTGGGATACGGGGTTGTCTATCAGGGAGGCGGTCTTTCAGTGCATCCTGGTTACAGATCAGGTCACCGCCCACCGTGATCTAAAGGTAAGGCAACTGACAAGACTAAGGAGGTCGTGTACGCGTGCGCCACACAGTCGGATTCCCAACTCATCGTATACGAGGTTGCAGATTGAGGTGCCTATGTCTCCATCCAGGCGATAGTGTCCCACATGCCATATTAAGAAGGCGATCTTGTGGCGCGACTACAAGTTTGAAGAAGATTCGAAATGCCTCTTCATTTGACCGTTTTCCGTGCTGCAAATCAAGGCTCTCCGTCACAGATCAACGCATGTCATGATTATTTGGGTAGCAGTGAGGTGATTTATAAGGCAGTAGGAATCCATCTCATTATAACATCACCGAAGAAGAAGAAACGGAGGAGTAATTGGAGGAGGAGGAGGAGGAGGAGGAGGATAAGGAGGGGGACCAGAACGATAAGTTTACTAGCCTGCGTCTTTGGATTCTCACTTGAACCAACAAACATTGACAATCGCAAATAGGGGTAATGGAGGCATAAGGACGTAACCGCCATTTCATCACGGTAGTTTGCACCTCGATTTCGACTATGTCTACCGTGTGCTCTACAGCCGTGTGAGATCAGGGACGATGGCTTGCACGTGAATTAGTTCATACTGATGGTAGACTTGTGCAGCATCCCTTGCTCTCTCTCCTTTTACATCTCACCGTCGTCCACTGGGACCCAGTGCGGTGACAGAATCAAAAAGACCGGAGGTAGGAGAGGGCGCAGTTTTCTGGGGCGGCGAAAAACCGCCTCCAGACGTACCTCTACCTCCCCGTGACTACAACGCGCACTGGCTAGGGTTTTACGCAACATGAATAGAGGGGACGGTTTGGATTCGAACCGGCGCGAAATGAGCTTGCAAATGGGCCTGCAGTCACATCCCCAGTGTTGGCATTTCTTATGGTTGCGTATTCCCGTTAATGCCTGTTGGACGCCAATCCGGACCTCTCTGTTTGTCCAACTCATCTACCGCGTGACACTTTGAGGAGCGAGAAGGCAACATGACGGGATCTAGAACTAGGTTCTGATTACCAATCCTGGTCGATAAGTGGAGAGTTGGGTTTAAGCATAATTGTCAGTTCTGGGTAGAGCCAAAAAGAAATTTACAGCACAATAAAACTGCTCGGCTTCTCCGGACACACACTGCTAACAATTTGTATTGTGTCCGGTCTACCTGTTCAGAGAAAGGTTCCTTGAACTGTTCTTGACTGTACAATTGTTTCACCGCGTCTAGGTGTCGGTTTTCGCCGTGACTTGACAATGATACGGGACCCAGGAGGAGGGGAGTGAGAAGAGAGTGCGGTAGATGCGTCACAAACTATCGTTCCCGCTCTTGTCCTCATGTGGAGCATACGGAGGACATCGTCGAAATCGACAGTCGAACTGTCGTGTGAGCTCAGATGGAGATAAATTAGGATTGGTGACGTTACAAGGTGGAAATTGTCACATCAGCAAATGCGAATCCAGCAAGTGCATTCATTTCCAGAACATGTTATAATCACTTAGCCTACTAGATGGTCCATCCGGTCCTGGAATTTTCACTTTGATATAGTGATCATGACTAAATGACCATCATCACCTACCCTGAAAGATCCTCAATAGCGAGAATTAAGCGGGAGTTTAATGACCCCGACGAGATCATATTCCCATGTTTTGGAATTTTTTAATCTTCAGCAACCACACTTCTGTAAATCGTTCGCAGGGAAAAAAGTGTCGATTGGATGGCTTCCTCAGTCTCTACATGTACTCAACATTACGAAAAATAGTCGTTAAACGTAAGAAGCTGATGGCTAATTAGGCCTCATTCCACCCGACTTTAGGCCTACTGGATACCGGGTGGACCAGGAAATATTAAAGTGCCTCTTCGGATAAGATCGTTTCGTGGTGTTTCGCAGAATTCTCACGGAGCCGTTCAAACTGTCGTGTAGAGGCGTGAAGGCGATGTCCCATTAGTGTAGGTTTCACCGACATTTCTAACTGGAATATACATTGGGCTTGCATGGGTTGCTTTCTCACTAAGCCGGAACTTCGGCTGGGGTGACACTGAAACCCAAGACATTCCCGTTCATCATTGAAAATTTAACTAAATTGTCCTAAAACCACAGGCTTCCTGATCACAACAATGTCTACTCCAGGGTAAGTGAAAATGATGTTTAACTGATTCGACCTTGGGTCCTCAAGGACTGTCGTATAGAGACGTGCAGTCAGTGCAGGTGCTGAGAGTTTCACTGAAAAGGCCGAGTTATCATTTAAAGTAGACGGGAAGGAGAGCAAGACCTGGCAGTGAGGATTTGTCGGATCTTTCGCATTGTGGTGCTGGGTCGCGGGCGGGGAGTCCACAGCCCCATCAATACGCTCGGATTTTTGAAACATACGCCGCTAAGCCTTGGTAATTTCCGCTTTCCACGAACACCGTTTTGGACTTTAACCGTTTAGAGGCGGTCGCATGGAAGTTACATGGCAGTCCAATTGATACATTGCGAAAATTTTCCTTAGCGTGAGCTCGATAGAAATATCGTTACGACTGAAGACCTCCGAGATTAAAAACTGTAATTTCTAGAAAGTAACTCAAGCAGTTAATGTATGGTTCTTACATTTTACATTGAAGCAGACTACAGTCTCTTTAAGGCGGCAGGTGGCCCCGTGGCAGTCTGCTCACTTGATCGCCGCTGCCTTGTCCCGCTGCCCTTCTGCTCGCCCCAGGCCCTCTTCTGATTCGCTGCGAGGACCGCACGAGACTTGTCACTGTCCTTGCAAGAGCTGGAAGTCAATCAACCACGCTGCCTCGCCGATTGGCTACAGGCGGCCACGACTTGGACAAACCAACGACTCCAAAGGACCCCAACGGCGGACACACTGACGCGCACAACACGTTTGAAGAGACAACTTGCGGCGACAACTTGCTGTGACTACCGAGCGCCTTTTTACAACAGTAAAGCCTGTCTAACCCAATCCCCTGTCTGCCATTGTCACTGATGATGGACTCGAGCAGGAGTCCGAAACGTCGGTCGGATAAATCTCTTGTCCCAGCGATCATGTCTGCTTCCTCACCAGTCCGTCTTCTCTGACTTCAAATTTGGGGTTTTTTGTGTTCACGACCATTGCGAACTGTTGCGTCGGTTCCCCATGGCGACAGTTCAGATTCCAATAAATTCATTCCCCAGCACAAGTTGTTACCTCGTAGCCTACACTACAGTCTTGTAGAGCATCCAGGTTTCACTCCGGAACAAGTTAAGAGGGCTTCTCATAACAAAAAAATATATTTGCTGGGTGTGACTACATGGTAAGAGGTTTGAAATGAGAGGAAGAGGAAAAGAAAGTAGAATCTTCTTTTTTTTCAGTTAAGCGTTGCAGTGTTAATCTTCGAATGAGGCAGTTTTTGATTCTCAGCGTTGTCTCGCTAGAACTGTGGATAGCACAACCAAGGCTCCCAGACTTGACGCTGAAAAGGACAAGAGTATAAAAGCTCACATATAATTCATGTTGACACAGAGCAGAAATAGGTGTTCAATGGACTCATAAGCACTATCTAAAATTGTAAACGAAGGCATTGGCAACGATAAATTTGACAGGTTAGCAGAGGCGGAAAGAGAGAATTGGAAACCGATTAATTTCCACTAAATGATTTTTCCCAACACGCTGAAATGTATCATTACCTGTCAGGTGTTTGGCAGCGGACGTTGTGTGCATTGCATGTCGTCGTTCAGTGACTGTGGGAATTGAGTGGAAAAAAGAACAATGCGATGAAATTAATAAAACGCTTTTGAGGGGTTTTAGTTCGCCGATTACGCTCTCCCCCCTCCCCCCGTAAAGGATGTAAAAGCTCACAAAAAATTACGTTGATACAGGGCAGAAATAAGTGTTAAAGTGAATCATAAGCCCTATCTAAAAGTTAGACGGAAGCATTGGCAACGATAACTCCGACAGGTTAGCAAAGACGGAATGAGAGAAATGTTGGACGATTAATTTTCCATGAATGATTCTTCCCAACACGCTTAAATGTAGCCTTACCTGTCATGTGTTTGGCAGCGGACGTTGTCTGCATTGCATGTCGTCGTTCAGTAACTGGGAGAAATGAATGAAAAAAAGAACAATGCGATGAAAATAAGGAAACGCTTTTGAGGGATTTTAGTTCGCCGAAGGGCTGTGGTATCAGTCTTATCTACACCACGGCTGCGCCACTGAGGGTTCTTCACAAACTAAAACGAAAACCAGTCAATTTTGCAGAGCAGTACTAATTATCATGACCATCGAGAGATATTTTATAGGAAGATAGCTTTGATTGTCAGCTAACCGCTCTCTGTGCTAGTGACGCAGATTAATCTGTCAGACGATTGGCGTACTGGCCGACAGTGAGATCGCTAACGACAGTCAAGTCATGCTTGAAATGTCTGCCTAGAACAGATTATGGCGTAGCAGCCAGTACAGCATGGCGTACACGTAGATGGCGGAGTCACACAGAAGTTAATCATCCGGACGATTGTGCATCGTACATCCACGATCTAAATGCCAAGAGAATGTCTGGGTGAGAGTTGATTTCCTGGTTAAACTTGATTGACCGCAGTTTTGAGATAATGTGAACCCACGTCAATCATACATTACGGAAACACTAGCAGGCTGGATAAGACGAGAAAGTGTCGAGGAAGCCGATGTTTTCAAGTGGAGGAAAACCAGAAAAGCGGCCGACGATGACCAGTTTTCAGTTGAGTTAAGGAGCTAATGACTGATCGGCGAGGATGCTGTGGTGAGGGGGGTTGCTGCACCGCGTAGGATAGATGGTTTGGGCGTGGGCGACCTAAAGTAGGGAAAGGTTGTAGTGGTCACATTTCTTCAATCTAAACTTGGGGGAAGCAGGAGGAGGAGGAGGAGGAGAAGGAGGAGGAGGAGGAGGAGGAGGAGGAGGAGGAAGGGGAGTGGGATGAGGACTACGTTATGTGATCTCTGCAATGGGATGGTGGGTAAAAGTATCATTGGAAGAGCGAGGAACACCTAGCCGCCATGACATCTCAAGCGGAATGTCACTATTCTACTGGGGCTTAATTTAAACACAAACCTATGATGAGGGCAAAGCCATTTCCTTTGCATTTGAACCACTGAGGTGTGGCTGAGTGCAGCATAGAGTTTTTAATATTTGATAGTTTGTAAGAACGCGAACGAACTCGCAAGGTGTACAGGAATTAGTAAATCGTCCCAAACCTTCCATTTGTTAGGTTAGCATCCACCTTCCTGCGTGAGTTGACCTCTTATCGTGATGAGCATTCCTTGGAATTTTTCACAGTCTCAACCTGCTAACCCTCCTCCCCCCCGTCCTTGCGTGCGCATTGAAAATACGCAGTTGGTGTCTCGCTGCTTCTGCAAAAAATTGTTTGTAATCGCACTTCAGGGGAAAACAACAAGCAGGTTTCTGGTGGCGCAATGCCTCTGCAGCTGACCCTGCGTCAGATGCGTTTCAGCGACACAGGTAGTTTTGCCCCAAGTCCAGTGGGCGTTATTAGCAGCCGGTACCTATAAAAAATGCCGACATTCTCGGCGTGGCGTCACGCCCGAGTGCGGGTCCACATCGAGCAGTCCTCGCCATCCTCTCGTTGTTGTGTTAAGTCGCGCTCAGTGCGCGTTGTGGACCTGGAGGCGTAGCGGTGCGACTTGGGGGAGCGGGGGTGTATTTCGCCGTGTCAGACATCCGCCTCCTCCCCCTCCCCTGCCACTCTTCTTTGCTCTGTCATGACACGGGACCCATGTGGAGAGGGGGGTAGGGGGAGGAGGAGGAGGAGGAGGAGGAGGGGGAGTGCGGTAGATGCTGTGCAAATCCAACATCACTTCAAAATAACTCACACGTAAGTCGCTGCCCCTGCACCAGACTGCACACGGTGGACGCCATCGGCAACCAATATCGAACTGCACACCATTTCCCGAAGACCTAGTAGACTCTAATTCCCTGTGCGTCATGTGTGGGCGTTTTGTTGCTCACATCTGCCTAATATCAGGGGAAAACAGGGGATTTATGTCGACCTATCAGGATGGTCAAGAGGCATATAAAAGCAGAGGGGTAGAACAAGTATTCTCATTCTTCCAGATGAACATGTATAGTGCATCTCTTGCCTCTCTGATCCTATCTCTGGCAATCCTCGTCTTCACTGACAAAGTGTATGTCTCGTCTTCGCTATTCCTGCCTCATCTGCTACTTATATACGTTCATAGTAGTGGTTGAATTGTGTAATGTTAGACTAGTGGAATAAATTCATGCAGATATCTATTGCATTCTTTCCGAGAAATCGAACACAAATTTACGTATAAGATGTTGAAAAATATGAAATAAATGTTGCGGGCAATGAAGTCCTTCATAATTCTATTGCTCTGGTTTGCAGGCGAGCAGTGGGAATATGTGACTGGGACCAGCGGACGTACACTACGCTCGAGGGTAAAGCCGAATTCATGACTGTGCGCAGTGGGAGGTACTCGGTAAGCTGCCATTTCTGTTATTCCAACAACCCTAATTGTGTCATTTTTATCGGTGTTTATTGTTGACCTGCAACATTAAACTTTACCATTTTTATCTTCTTGACAGACCGGATACATTGGCAAAGTTCCGTTTGTCTCCAAGCGACTCAGCCAGACCACTTGTTACCTCGGTGATGTGGCATTTAGATGTGTGTACGCTAACAGTAAGTCGCATGAAAATGACTGCTAGTGTTAGTGCAGGAAAATATTGTTAGGCAACAGTTAAAAAAGGAAGATAAACCGCGATATTTATAAATTTTCCTTCTAACCCCTAGATGGCAGCATTTTGGGAACGCATATAGTGGTGCCCAACATCACCAATGTGGACAGGATATACATTGCCAGCACCTATCCTGTCACAGTCCATAGGATCGAAAAGCACGTTCGGGACAAGTCCTCCAAAGGTTCGTCCATCAGTGCCTCATTTCTTCGTTCAAGTCTAAGTTATCAGTAGCATTCTTATTCACATTCCTGCTCTTCATACATAAGTCTCCCGCCAATGTCCTGTCCTCTTCACTGAGACTGATGTATTTGAACTACCGACATTTTAGATCGTTTTATCGTCGAAGAAAATATGCACCTGACCAAATGCCCCGAATATATGCAAACGAAGCTGGTTTGGAAATTCCCCGGAAGTGTGGCTGACAGGACAGATGTAAGTGATTGTCTGTCTACCACAACAATATCCGTTCCCTGAGACAGTCAGGTTGCCAAAATGAACTAAGTAGTCGTTTCTTTTCTTATCAGTTTGAATGTTTTCGAGACGGCAGTAGACTATGCAGAGGAACCACGACAACAATGGAGGCTGGCAAATGTGGTGAGTTGAGGGGAATTCACTACGCAGTGCGCATACCTAACCTCCGTCTTCTCTGATTTTTGAGTGACATCTGCTTTAACCCATATACCGATGTGTTCAATTGTCAGCGCGTGTTGCCCTATTCGACTAACATATGTCTTATTTGATTATCTGTAGAGGTGACCGTTGATGGTGGCAATCTGATTCATACTCGGACCGTGAATGGAACCAAAAATGTCCTCGAATTTTTCTACTGCCACCTCAGTCCGTCAACGCCGCAGCATGCACTGACCTACAACATAGATTGGCGAGGTGAGTATTTGCCAGAATCGTTTCATCAACTGACGAGGCCATTGTATATGATCGGGATATGATTGCTTCCCACAACTATCTACTATATTTATCTAAGTAGGCGTTGTTCGGCACACTTTTTGATCGGGAGCCAGTCATGCTATAGCCCGACAGGATGACACTAGCACTTCATGTATGAATTTGCAGTCCTGCCGACCATAATCAAAGGTGTGATGTTTCAGCCCGTCCCGTGTCGTTCTTCGGTGCTGAAAATTACACATGTTTTATTTGAAAAAGAAATCCGTCACACGACTGAAGTACTTACTGGTTTATACCTTGTATTCTTTCAATTTCAGCTTCGAAGCCGATTCCGCCTGAGGGAATACCGACAGACGCTCCAGGTAATTTACAACATTGTGACATGAGGATTGTGAAATTGTTCGGGAAGTATAGGCTTTTTTCCGATTTTGACGTCTGTCCTGCACGTTGTACGTAACTGTGCCAAATATCAGATCGCGTCCATTTCTAACAAACCATCGATGATCGAGATGGTTAGCGAAAGCCCACACACTTTACGGGGGGAGGGGGGAGAGCGTAATCGGCGAACTAAAACCCCTCAAAAGCGTTTTATTAATTTCATCGCATTGTTCTTTTTTCCACTCAATTCCCACAGTCACTGAACGACGACATGCAATGCACACAACGTCCGCTGCCAAACACCTGACAGGTAATGATACATTTCAGCGTGTTGGGAAAAATCATTTAGTGGAAATTAATCGGTTTCCAATTCTCTCTTTCCGCCTCTGCTAACCTGTCAAATTTATCGTTGCCAATGCCTTCGTTTACAATTTTAGATAGTGCTTATGAGTCCATTGAACACCTATTTCTGCTCTGTGTCAACATGAATTATATGTGAGCTTTTATACTCTTGTCCTTTTCAGCGTCAAGTCTGGGAGCCTTGGTTGTGCTATCCACAGTTTTGGCGGGGCAACGCTGAGAATCAAGAACTGCTTATTTCAAAGATTAGCATTGCAGTGCTTCACTGCAAAAGAGAAGATTCTTCGTTCGTTTTCTACCCGCTGCATGTTAATCCTCTTACCGTGTAGTCACACCTAGCCAATAGATGTTTTTTTATTATGAGAGACCTTCTTATCTTGTTCTGGAGTGGAAACTGGAGGCTCTACAAGACTGTAGTGTAGGCTACGAGGTAACAGCCTG